CATCATCCTGTCAGTTCTCAGTCATCTCATCTTGTTTCTTGTCTATGCATTTTATCACGTATTTTTGTTTTGTCATCTCTTTTCTTTACTCATCCCCTCCTTCTCCCCTTTCAGGTTCAGGTTTTGCAGACTGTCTGTCTCAGCGTCGTCTGGCTCTGTCCCGGCTCTTCTCTGGGCCCGTTGATCCTCCTCTCTTTGAGGCCTCCTCTGATAGATCCCAGGCCTCCTGTCTCTCCCTCCTCCAGCCTCTCAGGGACCTCCTTCCAGTTGAGGCAGATCCAACCTTCTTCCTGACTCACCTGGTCGAAGTCCTCCAGGGTCTCTTCCCCTCAGTGGGCGGGGCTCTGCAGGCACTGGCTCGCTCCTCCCCCCGTCGCCTCCAGGAGGACCTGTTTGGAGGGAAGTTTCTGAAGAACGCTGCCTCCTTTAACCTGAGTGGGGCAGTGGGGGCTCAAGGAGCTCTGGGTCTGGACCGGCTCTCCTCTCAGAGTGTCACCATCAGCCTCCAGAGGTACCAGGACCTGGTCCAGTCTGTCAGCAGGGCTCTGGAGGACCCTGCCTTCCTCTCCGCCCTCCAGCACACACTGGTGGGGCTCAGTAGCTCGGCGTCACTGGGACAGGTCAGAAACAGCATGTCCTCCAGCACCAGAAAACAAACACGCACCTCACTGCTTTTTCATAATGTAGGATGCCTTTTCATTCACGGCTTCTGGTTGAGTTTATTGAGGCTTTTCATTTGCTCATATTTCAACTTCAGCTGTAGAGAACACTTTTGTCAGCCCCCTCTGTTGTTTCCAGGTCCTGATTCCTCTGCTGCGTTCCTGCTCCAGTGAGGACAAGGATGATGCAGCAGCCATCTTTGTTCCCAGCTGCACATCCAGTGGTGGTTTCCAGGAGGTTCAGTGTCAGAGTGGAGAGTGTTGGTGTGTCAACCCTCACGGTCAGGAGGTCTCAGGGTCGCGGGCTGTTGGCCGTCGGCCTCGCTGTCCATCCCACTGTGAGAGGGAGCGAGCGATGGCCCTGAAGGTGAAATCAAACATGGCTGCCGGTGCTGAAATCCACATCCCAGCATGTTCTGAGGATGGAGACTTCCTGCCTCTTCAATGTGTTGGATCACGCTGCTTCTGTGTGGATGCTGAGGGAAACACCATGACTGTTGGGCCAGTAGGGGGCGCAATCACCTGTAAGACATCACCAGTGATAAACAGGCTGCCACTGAGGTGTCAGTGCTGTGTGCATGAAA